TGTTGGTGCTGTTGCCTGCGAGAGCAAACAGAGGAACCTTTGTAGGTATTGAAATGAGTGAATGCGTAAATAAATGATCTCAGATAGACAAAGGCAGGATCATTTGTTAATGACGGTGACAGAGGATGGTGGTGGTGGTGATAATGAATGCAAACACATAGTATCCACAATGGGTTTTACCTATCGTTTTGCATGTTTTATGTTTTTGTAGCTTGTCATATATGGTCTTTATTATTTTATGTTCCCTCTCTACCCACTTTGTTGATATCCACTTTTTAGTATGAATAGGTATTGAATTTTGTCAAATACTTTTTCTGCATGTATTGAGATTGAGACAGGGACTGTGGGCTTAGACAGAGTAGGGTGAGTGCCTCCAGAAAAAGACCCCTACCAAAATTCCATGCTAAACAATTAAGCAAAGCCAGAGTCACATTAATTCTCTAAAATTAAAATATCAAACTAGGAATATAGGCATTCTTCAGTGAGATTAGTTAAAACTAGAAGGCTAAGAGCAACTTAACTTAGAATTTGAATACTCCCCAGATAAAAAAAAAAAAGTATCTCAGCATAGCCTATATTTTCACTGTATCAATTAGAACATACCATTGTAAGATTTACTTTAGCACCTGCTCAGAGGCCCAGCTTATTCAGGAAGAATTCTATCTTAAAGCTAAGACTGCGACAGTGGCTTAGCCCACATTTGAAGGCAAGGCAGACAGTTGTGATTAATATGCTTCCAGACAGAAGCTGATATCCTAGAAAAGAATCAAAGCAGTAAATTTCTTGTGTTAAGCTAACTTTGAAGAATAACCCACTGATAAAAAAACTTAGTATCTCTTCAAAAATAAACATTTTGGGACCATCTGGCAGGTCTGCATCCCTAGCCCTTTGTCTCTCAACTGCCTATAAATCCTCTAGACAACGCACCACCCTGGGCTCTCGTCCCCTCCCTGCGTGAGCCAGGAGCTCTGTCTTCTCACTTCATCTCTAAATAAAAGCCTCTCCCTGGCTTTCCTACCTTGAGTGTTTGCTAAGTTCATTCTTCAACTCTGCAAACAAGAACCTCCAGCATCAAGATGATAATATGATTTTATCCTTTATTTACTATTGCATATCATATTGGTTCATATTGAACCATCGCTGCAAATTCCACTTGATCATGGTATATGATCTTTTTAATGTATTGTTGAATTTAGTTTGCTAATATTTTGTTGAGGATTTTTCTGTCTATGTTTATCAGGGACATTGGCCTCTGCATCCCTCTTATAAGGACTCTTGTGGTTACATTGGGCCTGTCAGGATACCCTCTCATTTCAAGGTCCTTAATTTACTCAATCTGCAAGGTTTATTTTGACCTCCATGATAGCATGGTCACAGGTTCTGGGGAGTAGGACAGACATCTTGGGGGACCATTATCTCATCTATTACAAATGGAACTTATTTAAGATGTAGGGAGAAGGTACTTGTCCACTGAGGCAGTTATGTGAATTTCTAAGTGGCGTGTTGCCCCCAGAATCCTTGCGCCCTGGCGCAGCTATTCAGTCCTTTTCACTTGGGCCCTCTGCCTGTGCACTAGTCTTAGTGATTCCTCTGGTTTAACAGGCACCTCACTTGACCTGCTGGTACCTTGAATAGTAACCACTCTACATATTTCACGTTGGACATGCTGCATGAGAGGCAAAGTCATTTATAAATTCATGTCACATCTAAATAAAAATAATATATAATACCACTGTTTTCCCTCACCCTTTCCCACATCTCTGTCTGCTCCCCTTTCCGTCACCCCCCAGCCTTCTCACCTCCCCACCCCGTCCTTCTCTGTTAAACCATCACTGTTTCACTCCCATGCTTCTCTTTCTCCCCCTCAGAGAGCTCTTTGAAACCATGAATTCGAGTATGTCTCTCCTCGGTTAAAACTCTTCCATGGCTTCCCACTGCATTTAGAATGAATCTCATTTCCTCCACATGGCCTTGTCCGATGGGGCTACTGCCTTTGCACCCCTTTCCACACGTTCTCCATGCTCCAGCCACACTGGCATCTTTCAGTTCTTGCAATGTGCCACATTTTGTCTGTTCAGAGGCTGCAAAAATTATCCTCTATGCATAGAGCTCTTCCTTGGCCAGTACCTACCATTCTTCAAATTTATCTTTTTCCTCCAGCAAAGCCATTTCTATTCACTCAGTCTAAGTCTAAAGTAGGGCCCTGCAGTTTCCCTGTCTATTCTTCCTTCAAAGCAATTATCAGGATTTAACACTGTGTATTCATTTGTGTCTTTGCTCTTTTCAGTCTTCCCAACTGGTATAATAGCTCCATAGGGTTTTTCACATTTCTATTATGTTCATTCCTGTGTCTCCTGCCTTGGGTGCCTAGTTCAATAAAATGGGAGACTGAATGCTTGTTGAATAGATGACTGACTGTATACCACATGAAAAAGCATGTAGCCTGAACAGTGATATCGCCACAGAAATGAGCAAGACTGACAGGGAGGACAGTGGGGACAGGCTGAGTGACGCCAAGAGCCTGCGTTAGATACGTTCCTGATGACCTTTTATTCTAGCCAAGTGTATTGTGAATCACAAGTTCATATTGGCGAATCCTCACAATTATGATGTGGGTATTTTAAAACTTACTTTCATTTATAGCTATATTTATTTTTCTGTGACTAAAGGAAGTTTTCCATATTCTATTTAAAGATTTCTGGGCATTATTAGCCTTGTTTTCTCCTCTTTTTAATTTGATAAATGAAATGTATTATAATTATATCTCATCATAAAATTAATCATAGCAGCTCATTATTAAGTGCTACCTATGTGTCAGGCACTTTAAATGTATTATCTCATTTAATATTTGCAACAGTCATGCAAGGGAGGCAGTGATATGCCATTTTCTAGGTGACAGCACTGAGGCTCAGACAACTTAACTCTCCCAAGGTCATATAAGCTATATATGCTGGAGATAGAATTCAAACCAGATGTGTCTGCTGCTTTCTGAAGCTACCACAGTGGTAGCTTCATGGTAAGTTATTTTAGTACATATTTTAGAAAATGAAATACATTTGGTAGGTCCATAGCATTGCTATATTTTCTCTGTTAGACAATTAGACAATGTTTAACTCAAAATTTTAAAGGTGAGAACAAATTTTTTTCCTGACCAACTTAAAGAGGACATCTTCAACTGGCTTTCTAAGAGAACCATTAAAAGATGGTGAAATGTTTTTTGACATACAGAAAGGCCTGCAGGCCAGTATGATAACACCTGTGTTCTCACTACTTATCTTCAAATAAAATCTTACCGTTGAAAGGCCTCTTTGCATTCCTTTCCAGTCTTATATTCCTCCCTTTCCTCAGAGGTAGGTAACCACTATCCCAACTTTGTATCTTGGCAACAATCTGCAGGGTGAGTACAGTGGCAGTTAATGTTTTTTTTTTTTTAAAGAAACTTACTTCTTTGCTGTCTTGCCAATTTCATCCAAACTGGCCCCCAGTTTGTACCAGGTTTGACCTATGCCACCATGTACTTTCCCTGTGGTATCTTATAATGTGAGTGAGGAATAAAGACATAGTGTTTCAGATCCGACAGCTATGGGACAAAAGATCAGTTTAATGGGTTGGCTTTTTTTTTTTTACCATGATCTAAAGTCAAATTGCTATCAAGAGCCTTACCGCAAACGATCTGGAGGACCTCGAGACTGCAACTGTTAAGATGAGTAGTTGAGGCCCCGATCCTGTTCCAGTTTCAGGTGGATGAGTGTCTTCTAGGTTTCGATCTTCCGCAGATTTTCAGAAGTTAAGTGTTCTTCACTTGTGATCTCTGCATAAACTCCTTATCTTGTGAATGATTCCTGGCAGAGTCATTATGGACGTGGTCACATGAGAGGTCTTTTTGCCCAAATCTAAGGGAAAAGACATCCTCAAGTTGGCAAAGAATTGAAAGAAGCTTCTCTAAAAAGACAGAAAGACAAAAACAAAACAAAATAAAACCAAAAATTGCTAATTAAGATGCAGCTCCATAAATGAAGTGTTGCTGATTCAGTATAATCATTTATGTGGGGGAAAACCAAGAGACTGAGACTTTTAGGGAAAGGTAGAAATGGGGAAAATAGGTAATGAAATGAGTGAGAAGCAAGAATTGTAATTGTAATTGTGGTACAGATTAGGGGTGGAGCTGACCGTAGAAGGGAAGCAGCTCTTGGGACTGAATGCCTGAGATGCAGAAAGGGCTTAGAAAGAGAATAACAGAGTCATTATGGACGTGGTCACATGAGAGGTCTTTTTGCCCAAATCTAAGGGAAAAGACATCCTCAAGTTGGCAAAGAATTGAAAGAAGCTTCTCTAAAAAGACAGAAAGACAAAAACAAAACAAAATAAAACCAAAAAATTGCTAATTAAGATGCAGCTCCATAAATGAAGTGTTGCTGATTCAGTATAATCATTTATGTGGGGGAAAACCAAGAGACTGAGACTTTTAGGGAAAGGTAGAAATGGGGAAAATAGGTAATGAAATGAGTGAGAAGCAAGAATTGTAATTGTAATTGTGGTACAGATTAGGGGTGGAGCTGACCGTAGAAGGGAAGCAGCTCTTGGGACTGAATGCCTGAGATGCAGAAAGGGCTTAGAAAGAGAATAAATAGTAAGTGACAAGAAAATATCACTAACTGGCTCTTAGTATCTGGAACAAAATGAGGTCTCATTAATGAAATGATGATTCACTACTATAATCTCAACAGTTTTTAAAGGCTTCCCAATAAAAGCATCTACTTGTGTACATATATGATGGTTTTCACATATGAAGATACAGTATAACTTATCTGAGTCCTATTTTATTAAGGAATTTCTTTTTAAAGACAATCCAGATGGTTGTATTTTTGTAATTACAAAATCAATGGCTCAAAAATATATATATATAAAAGACTTCTGCTAAAGTTAAAGTAACTGAAGGTTGTGCACAAATTCTTCATTTCTTTCATAAAAATAATTCTGTTGGATTTTCCATAAAAAGTACAACTACTGAACATTCTTGTGACAGCTTCTTTGTGAATGTGTCACTGTTCTTGATTTGCACACGCCTTATAATTTAGGCCTTCTTTTGTTTTGGGTTGGCAGTTCCAACTGTTAAAGCTCTTGTCTGATTATGTGGGACTCCCCGTTTTAATGGGAGCAGCCTCTTTGCTGCATTTTTCAAAAATGGTCTTGGAAGCTTCTTACTGTGGTTCTTTGTTGGGGACAAAGGATTATTTATGCTAAAGGAAAATGTATTCCCCACTGAATTAGCTCGTGGGAAGCATAACAAGCTCATTATTAATGCTCAGTTGTACTTTGGCCTTTTGCTGTGGTAGGGAGAAGGAAAAATGACATCAAAAAGGACATTCTGCTGTCCTTTGCCTTCCCGCAAAGAAAATGTGATGTAATATTAGACTTCTCTGTTAGGTTTAGGTCAAGTTCAACTTTGGTACCAGCAGAAATTGTTCCTGAAAGGAAAGTAGTGTGTATAGTTGACACTGTGTATGAGGTATGTTTGGTGTAACTTAGAGGGGGAAACAACTTTTCATTGGAAATTGATAGCATTATAGACCTGTAAACTACTTCCATTTTTTTAGCACGTTTTAATGGTAATGTACAATAAAAAATAGACTAGCATATTATGCTGCCTTAAGCAGTCAAAAATCCTAGGTTTTATATAGTCTATATTATTCTGAATGTTTTAAAACTCTTATTTTCTCTCTGAAAATACATTAAAGAATTGTGTTCACCTAACTTAAAAGTTTTTTTCTTGTAGATTTCAAGAGTAGTACTTTGTAGTTAGAATTGCTGTACCTTGTGTGTTTTTATTGTCTTCAGCACCTTATGGAGAAAATAAACATGAAAAATTATTATAGAAAGGCATAGAATATTGTTTCATAGTTAAAACTGATGTTTATCTTTATTACCTTGTCTTCTGGCAGAAGAAGCTTATTGTTAAGCTTGTGAATTCATACAAAGTCCAGATGAATTTATATGATCTTGCAAAGATGAGATAAGAGATACTTGGCTTTTAGTATCAGTTACTGTGATATTTGTACTTCCATTAGATATACCTTACTTTTACAGAGGAAAATTCTGGGGGACTTTCATATGAGCTAATTTATTGTTAATTTTGTTTTAGCCAGGTGCTTTAAGAATTACTTTGATGTTAGTGCCAGAAACTATATATTAAATGTATTCTGGGTTTTCTTCTTTCAAATGAGGAGTACATTTGTGAAGTGAGAAGCTGAGACTTGTTATTAAATTCTCCTATACTGAAACTCTTATGGTTAGAAGAAAACATTTTAGGTTTTCAGTCAAATACGAAAGTAAAGCAGATTCCTTGTGACTTTAGGGTTTGGGGAATTGGGAAAGCTACCACAGTTTCCATATTAATGTTTTGTTCTATTTTCAGAAAAGTAATTTCATTCAATATAGACGACCATGCAGCCTGCAATTCAAGTAAGTGTTTTTCTTGGAAAAATATGTATTTTAATTATGAGATTAATATAATAATTAGTAAAATACTAAAACTATCACAAAATGTTTTTATTATACTAGTTTTTTTAGGCATCACATTTTAATAACAGCAGTACTCATATTTTGACTTTCTAGTTCTGAATAAATTGTACCATTAAACTTTCATTTATACTGAATATTTATAAGAATCAAGAATACCTGAAGATTGGTGGGTCCTTCTTTTTATGCTACCCTGGAGAAAGGCTTGGAACTCCTCACAGTTTTCCTCTCATTACAATTTAGTATACATTTGTAGTTAAGAGAGCTTTCAATGGAAATAAATAGAATTTTTTTATTTTAGATAAGTGTGCATATGTCCTGTTGCCTGTAAACAATCAGGCATTAAAATTTAAAAAGTGTGTGTTAGGTTTTTTTTTTTGGTGGGAAGGAAACAAAATGGAGATAAGGAGAGAAACCAGAATAACTTAACTGAACGATTTCCGGAGTTGGTATGTGCCATTTTATTCTTATATCCTTTTAAGTTTTTTTCTTTTGATATAAAATAGAACATGATTGAATTCTAACTTAAAGATAAAAGTCACCTTGAAGATCTCCTTAGAAAGATGCAGTCAGCTGATGCTAAAATTTGCCTTGGAAAATGAGAACTTTAGAGTCTGTTAGATTTCATTTCCGGTTCTAGCTCTGTCCTCTGGTTGTGAGATTCTAGCAAGTTAACCTACCTCTCCGTCTCTGCTTCCTCCCCTCTAGTGTGAGGATATCAGCGCTTATTTTTCAGGGCTGTTGTGAGGAACCAATGAGATAACATGAGTGAAGTGACTGCTGGAATATCTGTGGAGCAGTAGGCACTTCAGAAGTTTGGTTCTGTCCTTGACACAATGAAACTCTTCAGATGTGAAGCTGAAGATTATACCCATGTCATGAAAGTCTTCCCTTTTTTTTAATTAAGAAAGAAGGCTTATCAGGATAACAGCGAGTGATAGCCTAGAGAAGATTATCAAATGTTAAGAACAGCCCTGAAGGTGCCTGCTTGGGCTCACTCCTATACTATGCAGCTGTGTCCTTGTACAGAATTCCATTGTACTGTTTCCTTCTGGGACTTGGGAGTCCACTGAAGTCTGCCAAAAGGTCTTACTCCCCTTTGGGTCCTATCAAAAGCACACTGAGCATATTCAGATCTCCTTTATTACTCAAAACCAATTTTTATCTGATTGCTTGTATTTGTCCTCTTTTTACCCAAGTCTCAGAAATGTCACCAGTTTCATGTTGGATATTTTCTTGATTCCTTACAACATACTTTTATCACTGCCACATTGACCATGTTTTTCTCATTTCCACCCTAATGGCCATTAATATTTTCTTAACGTGGTGATTTTTTTTCATAGTTTTGACATACTTCTATGAAACCTTGTTTGATATTTTCATAGATCAATCTTTTTTAAAAAAATGTTAAGGTATAATTGATATACAATCTTATAAAGGTTTCACATGAGCAACATTCACCTGTATTATCAAGTACCCCCACAACCACACCCCATTGCACTCACTGTCCATCAGCATACTAAGATGCTATAGAGTCACATACTGCCTTCCCCGTGACCTCCGTACATTATGTGTACTAATCCCGTTCTCCCTCCCTCCCTACCCACACTCCCCCTCTTCTCCCCTTTAGTAACCACTAGTCCTTTCTTGGAGTCTATGAGTCTGCTGCCGTTTTGTTTCTTCAGTTTTGCTTCATTGTTATGCTCCACAAATGAGTGAAATCATTTGGTACTTGAATTTCTCCACCTGACTTATTTCACTGAGCATAACAGCTTCTTAGCTCCATCCATGTTGCTGCAAATGGTAGGATTTATTTTCTTCTTATGGCTGAATTATATTCCATTGTATATGTGTACCACATTGTTACCCATTCATTTACTGATGGACAGTTAGGCTGCTTCCATAACTCATCTGCTGTAAATAGTGCTGCGATAAACACCAGGGTGCATATGTCTTTTTTCAATCTGGGATCTTGTTTTCTTTGCACAAATGCCCAGGAGTGGAATTCCTGGGTCAAATGGTATTTCTATTTTTAGCTTCTTGAGGAACCTCCATATTGCTTTCCACAATGGTTGAACTAATTTACATTCCCACCAGCAGTGTGGGAGGGTTCCCCTTTTCTCCGCATCCTCGCCAGTATTTGTTGTTGCTTGTCTTTTGGATGTTGGCCACCCTAACTCGTATGTGTTGATACCTCATTCTGGTTTTAATTTCCCTGATAATTAGTGATGTGGGGCATCTTTTCATGTACCTGTTGGCCATCTGAACTTCTTTGGATATGAACATCTGTTCATATCCTCTCTCCATTTTTTAATCGGGTTATTTGCTTTTTGGTTGTTGAGGCGTGTGATCTCTTTATATATTTTGGGTGTTAATCCCTTCAAGGATATGTCATTTATGAATATGTTGTCCTATACTGTAGGATGCCTTTTTGTTCTAGTGATGCTCTCCTTTGCTATACAGAAGCTTTTTAGTTTGATGTAGTCCCATTTCTTCATTTTTGCTTTTGTTTCCCTTGCCCAAGGTGATGTGTTCAGGAAAAAGTTGCCCATGTTTATATTCAAGAGATTTTTGCCTATGTTTTCTTCTCAGAGTTTTATGGTTTGATGACTTACATTCAAGTCTTTGATCCATTTTGAGTTTACTTTTGTGTATGGAGTTAGACAATAATCCAGTTTCATTCTCTTACATGTAGTTGTCCTGTTTTTCCAACACCAGTTGTTGAAGAGGCTGTTGTTTCTCCATTATATATCCATGACTCCTTTATCATGTATTAATTGACCATATATGCTTGGGTTTATATCTGGGCTCTCTAGTCTATTTCATTGATCTATGGGTCTGTTCTTGTACCAGTACCAAACTGTCTTGTTTATCGTGGCTTTGTAGTAAAGCTTGAAGTTGTTGGGGAGCATAATCTCCCCAGCTTTATTCTTCCATCTCAGGATTGCTTTGGCTATTCAGGGTCTTTTGTGATTCCATATGAATTTTAGAACTATTTTTTTTAGTTCATTGAAGACTGCTGTTGGTTCTTTGATAGGGATTGCATTGGGTCTGTAGATTGCTTTAAGCAGGATGGCCATTTTTACAATATTCTCCCTATCCATGAGCATGGAATATATTTCTATTTATTGGTATCTTTTTTAATTTCTCTCAAGAGTGTCTTGTAGTTTTCAGGGAATAGACCTTTTACCTCTTGGTTAGGTTTATTCCTAGGTATTTTATTTGTTTTGATGCAATTGTAAATGAAATTGTTTTCTTGATTTCTCTTTCTGCTACTTCATCATTAGTTTATAGGAATGCAACAGATTTCTGTGTATTAATTTTGTATCCTGCAATTTTGCTGAATTCAGTTATTATTAGTTCTAGTAGTTTTGGGGTGGATTCTTTAGGGTTTTTTATGTACAGTATCATGGCATCTGCAAATAATGTCAGTTTAACTTCTTCCATACCAATCTGAATGCCTTTATTTCTTTTTGTTGTCTGATTGCTGTAGCTAGGACCTCCAGAACTAAGTTGAATAAAAGTGGAGAGAGTGGGCATCCTTGTCTTGTTCCTAATATTAGAGGAAAAACTTTCAGATTTTTGCTGTTAAGTATGACGTTGGCTGTGGGTTTGTCATATATGACCTTTATTATGTTGAGGTACTTGCCCTCTCTACCTGTTTTGTTGAGAGTTTTTATTATGAATGGATGTCGAATTTTGTTGAATGCTTTTTCAGCATATATTGAGATGATCATGTGGTTTTTGTCCTTTTTGTTGATGTGTGATATTTGATGTTGATGGACTTTTGAATATTGTACCATCCTTGAATCACTGGAATAAATCCAACTTGATCATGATGGATGATCTTTTTGATGCATTTTTGTATTTGGTTTTTAAGTATTTTGTTGAGTATTTTTGCATCTATGTTCATCAAGGATATTGTTCTGTAATTTTCTTTTTTGTGGTGTGTTTGCCTGGTTTTGGTATTAGAGTGATGCTGGCCTTATAGAATGAGTTTGGAAGTATTTCCTCTTCTACTTTTTGGAAAACTTTAAGGTGGATGGGTATTAGGTCTTCTCTAAATTTTTGATAAAATTCTGTGGTGAAGCCATATGGTACAGGACTTTTGTTCTTAGGTAGTTTTTGATTACCAGATCAAAACCATTGCTGGTAATTGGTCTGTTCAGATTTTCTGTCTCTTCCTGGGTCAGTCTTGGAAGGTTCTATTTTTCTAGAAAGTTGTCTGTTTCTTCTAGGTTATCCAATTTATTAGCATATAATTTTTCATAGTATTCTCTAATAATTCCTTGTATTTCTGTGGTGTATGTAGTGGTTTCCTTTCTTATTTCTGACTCTGTTTATGTGTGTAGACTCCTTCTGGTAAGTCTAGCTAGGGGGTTATCTATTTTCTTTATTTTCTAGAATAATAAGCTCCTGGTTTGATTGATCCTTTCTATTGCCTTATTCTTCTCAATTTTATTTTTTTCTGCTCTGATCTTTATTACATCCTTCCTTCTATTGACTTTGGGCCTCATTTGTTCTTCTTTTTCCTGTTTCATTAATTGTGAGTTTAGACTGTTTGTTTGGAATTGTTCTTGCTTTTGGGTGGAGTGTTCTGTAGATGTCTGTTAGGTCCGTATGTTCTATTGTGTTGTCCAGTGCCTCTGTGTCCTTCCTTATTTTCTGTCTGCTTGATCTGTCCTTTGGAGTGAGTGGTGTGCTGAAGTCTCCTAAAATGAATGCATTGCATTCTATTTCCCCCTTTAATTCTGTTAGTATTTGTTCCACATATAGGTGCTCCTGCGTTGGGTGCATAGTTATTTATAATGGTTATATCCTCTTGTCGGACTGACCCCTTTATCATTATGGAATGTCCTTCTTTGTCTCTTGTTACTTTCTTTGTTTTGAAGTCTATTTTGTCTGATACAAGTACTGCAACTCCTGCTTTTTTTTCCCCTATT